AAGAGTGTGTCTACTCTTTCACTAAAAAAAATGTAAGAACAAACACGCCCTTGGACACGGAAGCATTTTTCTGGGATACCTCTGGTATCCCGGAAAAATTCTTGTAGTCTAGCTGTACCCTCGCTGGGTTGAAACAGGAGGTGCAGGCTCTGGGGTGGGAATAAGGGATTTGGGTGTGGGACGGGGTGAGAGGTCTGGGAGGGAATTTGGATGCAGGAGGATGTGGAAAAGGAAATGCTGGCTTGGGGAGGGAGCTCCAGACTGGGGAGTGTTGGGGTCAGGTGAAGGGTTGGGGTGCTGAGCAAGCCACAGGCTTGTGGATGTGAGGGCGCAGGACTTTGGGTTGCGCTGTGTGAGGGACTCAGAGCAGGAAGGTTGGGAGTATGATGAGCTCAGGACACAGATTTGAAGTGTGTGGATGGTGCAGGAGTGTTGTGGCAGAAGACTGGGTATGTGGGGGTGCAGGAGTCTGGGGATGTGAGAGGCTCAGGACAGGGGGTTCCAGTGTATGATTTGTACAAAGATTTGGGGTCAAGGGGGGGTACAGGAGTGTTATGATGCTGCAACCAGATGGGGGCTTGGCCCCAATTGGGGGCTTGTTGGCCAGGCTTCATTTTTAAATAAAATATTATGTCAAACACAACAAGTTTCAGCATTATCTTTATTTATGAGAGAGGCAGGGAACATGTTTTGAGTCAGGGTCACTGACCCACAGAATAGTCAGTTGGGGGTCACACAAGTGAGATGCAAAAAACCAACCCCTTCAAAAAACCACAAGCCTCATTAATGTGGCCCCAACTGCGATGGTGAGGGCAGGGGACAGGGTGCTGGGGCAGGCTGCTGGTGGTTTCTGGGACAGATAGTAGGGTGCTTAGGCAAGGGACCAGGGTGCTGGTGGGTGCTGGGGTAAGGATTAGGTGCTGGTGGGGGTAGCAGACAGGGTGTTGGGTCAGGTGTCAATAGGTACTTGGTCAGGGGACAGGGTGCTGGGTCAGGGTGCTAGTGGATGCTGGATCAGGGGACAGGGGGCTGGGACAGGGTGCTGGGGTAGGTGGCAGGGTGCTGATGGGTGCTGGGGCAGGGGAAAAAGTGCTGGTGGGTGTTGGGAAATGCGCCAGGTGTTTGGGGGAGGAGGAGCAGCCTGTGCACTTCCTGAAACCCTAGAAGTGGAGCGCAGCTGCGGGACTGCCCCCACAAGCTGCAGGAAGCCGGCACTACCTCCATAGTCATTGGAGGTAGAGTCAGTGGGGGGCTTCTTCTGGGCATGGGGGAGAATGGCGGGGGGGCAGCTCTCCCCATCGACCAGTTGATTTTGATTGATGGCTTGGTGACCATGGGATTAGATGAACCATTAGTCTGACTAGGGATGTGAAAGGTTAACTGGTCAGGAGAAGCCTGTGTCTGCAGTGGGCTAGGGTGCTCCACAGGCAAGAGCTGTGGTGGGTGGGGCCACTCCAGCGTGGCCTGTTGGGCTGGAGCAGCCTCCCGGGCTGCACCCCCTTTGATCAAGATTTTACATTCCTAGGGCTGACCCAATATGACAGCATGTTCTTTTTAGTCTTTGGTTCACAATGATTTCCTGCACATTTTCCTATTAACATAAAATAACTATATAAGAAACTCTTCCATATTGTACTTCAGCTTTAATAAGTACAACTTTTTTCCTTCACATCAAAACTTACCTAGTTCAGAAACAGAAAAGGAATCATGCCTTTATTTGTTGTGTTACAATTTAGTTACCTAAGCATGCAGCGGCACCAACCATGGCATATAGGCCGGGCGTGATACAGTCAGCTCCAACTTCACACCACTCCTTGAAGATAAACCAGTCATGGTGATAATAAGCCAACTGCTCCACAGCAATTCCCACAATCCTTCCTGCTATTGCTCCAATTGCCATACTAGGTATGAACAAACCTGATGGAACCTACAACAGAAATAAAACGACTTCATGGTAAAGATTTAGAATACACGGGACGTGTTAAGACTCTTATTCCTGGAGAGCTACTTTACACAAGCCAAGCAAAAAACAACAACAAAAACTCCCACCCAAACTTACCTTGATACCAAAGGTGAAGACTGTCATAATTATTTTAAATATAAGTGCTAAACACAGCTGCCATATGGCTGAATAAACTCCAGTGCCTGCTGGACGATCAGGAATATCATCTACTATCTTACTGGCATTCATGTCATTTCTGTAGTCACAAAGAGAGGAGGATTCTAAAGGCCCACAGTCTGTGAAGAGCTCTTTAATAAGCTCACTGGTATTGAGCCTTGTGTATGGATTAGGAAAGGCAATGACAGCTGTTATTGCTGCAACAATGATGACCTCCAGGACAGGATACTTCCCAAATTTTGTTGATTTGCGTCGGCGGCACCAGGCGATGTTTGCACGGATGAAAAATGCTCCCCACAGTCCACCAAACACTCCCAGAAGAATGAATGGAAACAGTTCAAAAAGGTACCAAGGGGTATGGTATTCCACATAAAAAAGAACAAGACGGCTGTTACCAAAAGGATTGATGGATCGCAAAACAAATGCAGCCACTAAAGCAGCAAAAAAGGACCTCCATAAAGTTTTCAATGGGAAATAGTAACTGACCTGAAAAGTAGACAAGTTAGAATTACTGGCAATTCATTATAAAAATATTTCAAACTATTCCAAAATTAACAGAAAATACTAGCAAATACTAGTATACTACATTTCGGTTCACTATCTTTTAAATATGCATACATTGTGTTATCAGTTATAATAATGCAGCTACATTAATCAGTTTACATTTTTAAAGTGTTTTTTGAGGAGTAACATTAGTTCGCACCAAGGGGTTTGGTTCAAACTAACGTGTCCTGGCGCGCACTTTCACTTTTGAAACAGCTGTTGAGAGGAGTAATGCGCCGGCGAGATCATGCTAATGAAGCACGGGATATTTAAATCCCTGCTTCATTAGCAATTTCAGTCGCCTACATTTGCAACCCTAATTCGAACTAGGGAGCAAGTGTAGACATACCCTTAGTGACTACAAAGGTGCTATACAAAGGTAGGGAATTAACCTTCTTCCACTGGAGGAAAAATAGAAGCCCCAGAACAAATTAACACATGGCTTCAGGGTTTGTAGACATTTGCATGTTTCAAAAAGCTTGCAAATAAGGTTTCATCCTACAAAACAACTAGCATCACACCTAGTACTTGCTACTTCTAATTCATAAAAGCCAGAACTCTACCAGATAATAAAGATCTGGCCTTAATGCAACACAATTTACTACACGTGGCACGGAGTAGCTAGTTTTCCATGAGGAGTACAGCTAGTTCGGATTAGGAAGCCTACACGCGGCACGGGGTTCGAACTGCCTGCATTTAAAAATGGCGCCGGCCGGCTTTATGCAAATGAAGCCCGGGAAATTCAAATCCCGGGCTTCATTTGCAATTGCGGTATGACTACATTACCCTCCTATTTCGAATTAGGAGGGTAGTGTAGACATACCCTCTCTCTCCAGTAGCTGGGACTTTCCCTCAAGCCAATTAATTACTCCCTTCCTCCTCCCAGCCACTCATTCCCTGCTAATCTTGGCTGACTGTCTTCCCTTTCAAGCACAAGGCAGGCAGCGTTTAGCTGTTTATGGAGGCCCCGACCCCACCTGTCAGCTAATCTCCCTGTTTGGATGGGGGAGTTTTGAACCTCTGCACAGGGCTCAGAATATAGCTGCATGGCCACTCAGCCATGCAGTTTAGACGGAACTTTGGTCTCTGGGAGTTTTCTATCTCACAGGTAGGTCAAAGATTCTCAGAGTTTTCAGTAAACGACTATAGCAGAATTCAGACTCTGGCCATGTCTGCACTTGACATGCTACAGCAGCACAGCTGCAGGGATTGGAGCCAGCACTGGCTTCCTGCAATCAGGGAAGAAGCAGAGCCACAAACAGCTCCATGCGTGTGCACACACAGCAGCACATAGTCCTGCTGCCCAGAGGCTTTTCCCACTGCTCAATTGGCCAGAATACGGCCAACAGAGCAGCAGAAAGCCATGCCTAGCACAGGGAGCCTGAGAGCAGTGCAGGATGCAAAAGCAAGTAAGTGCCACCCAGACCCTGCACCCCCCCACCCCTCCAACACCCTGGGACCCCAAAGCCTGCTTCAGCCTTCTCCCCCCTGGTGTGGCACCCTAACCCCAGCCTACTCATGCCCCTTCCCTCCTGGCCAGACACTCACCTGCACCCTGCCAGAGACCTACTGCTAGACAACTCCTGCCCCCTCCCCCTAGCTTACTCCTGCCCCATCCTCCCAGCCTGCTCCTGCCCTCTACCCTCTGGCCACACACCCTACTCCCAGTCTCTTCTGCACCCCACCTTCCCCCCAGAGATCCTGCACCCCCATCCCTATCCCACTCACTAGCAGCTCTGTCCCACACACTGGACCCCACATTTTTGTCCCCACCTCAGAGCCAAGGGGGGGCTCACAAAATCCACTAATCCTGGAACCCCAGAAGATTTAATCTGGCCTGAGACCTTGAACCTCAGTCCTCCCTGCCCCTCCCCCACTCATGGGACTAGAGCGAGGGGAGTAAGGTTGGGGGCCACATCAGTGAGGGATGGGGGTTTTAAGAGAAGTTGGGTTTTTTTGCTTTTCATTTGTGTGGTTCCCAACTGATTTTTTCTGTGGGTCAGTGGCCCCTGACCCAAAAAAGGGTTCCCATCCCTGCCATAAATAAAGACAACATTGAAACATTTGTGTTGGGCATGCATTTATAAACCTTTGTTTTAGACATAATATTTTACTTTATTTTAAAATAAGTTTGATAAACTAACATGAGAAAGTAAAAGCGCCCAGCCTCCATCTGGCCACAGTGTCCTAACCCCAGCCCCAATCCTGGTACAGGCCCCGCAGTTTGGCCCCCATCTGACCGCAGGAAGAGCTGGCGGTGGCAGCCCCACTCCTGCTGCAGCATGGGTAGGAGGGGAGGCCACGATCTGGTTGTGGAGATCCTGGACCGGCCCCTCGTCCAGCTACAGCTGCCTGGGTGCAGCAGCCCAGCCCCAGCCAGGTAAGGTAATCCAGCTCCAGCCCTGCCCCCCATACTCTACTTCCCACACACCCCAGCCACCTGCTCTGAACCCCTCTTACACTCAACCCTGACTTCTGCACCCCCACATCCACAAACTGCACCTCCAGCAACAGCAGAAGTCCCATTAAATAAAATCTGTGAGTACGTTTCATTTATGCTATTATTAATCATGTCAATTATCAATAATATTAAATTGTGTATTTTCAGTCATGCAAATGAGTATTCTTATAGACTGGCTCTTTGTTGACCACCTGTTTTGAATTTTGATGTAGCTTGGCTCTTTGGTTTGAAAAGGCTGCCGACCCTTGCGGTGGACAATTACTCCAGTCGTGGAGGTGAGCCGACCCTTGCTGTGGACAATTACTCCAGTCGTGGAGGTGGGGTGGCTGTCAGCATAATTAATCCATCTTCCTGAGAGGTGATAGCTAAGTCGATGGAAGAATTCCTTCATCGCCTTCATTCTATCCACAGCAGTGGTTATGTCGGCTTACCTATGTTACTCACAGAAGTGGATTTTTCATGACTGAGCGACGTAGCTGGGATAAATTGACTTTTGACTGTTGATCTGGCTTAAGCTTCTTTAAATTAGACGTAAGGAGATAACAAAAAAGATCATAATGATCTAAATAATGGTCCTAAATTTCCCAAATTCATATATCTAGATTGGTATTCAAGGTTTGTATTCTTGAGAGAGAATTTTATTAGCATGGTGGTTAGTTTTATAGAATATTTGATTTGTAATTAGGACATATGCCACAGTATGGAGTCTTTAAAATTAAATTGGATATTAAAGATTTGTTTTAACTTAAAGGGCAAATGAGTTTGTAACGGGCCTTTTGTCCCAGAGCAGAGTAAAATAAATAGGAGGAACAAAACCTTTATTTCCCTTCCCCTCTTTTTCTTTTAAATTAAACAAGGAAATAAGAACATTAGAAAGAAGTTAACAGGAAAGGCATAATAAATGCTGATCTTCATTAGCTACAACAAACTAAATAAAAAAGGCTCTCACATCATCAGAATGTTTTAATGTAAACTGTAGGGGAAAAAAGCAGGCAAGGAAGCAATTGCACAAAAAACCCTTTCAACTTCAATTCCGTATAAGTACTTATTTTCTTTTCTCTCTCTCTCTTTCTCTCTCTCTCTCGTCGTACTTATTTTCTCTCTCTCTCTCTCTCTCTCTCTCTCTCTCTGTGTGTGTGTGTGTGTGTGTTTCATTTGTGTACAATAAAGCTGCAATAAAGGAATTGACCTTTCTCCAGAAAAGAAAAAAAAACCCATACCAATGAAGAAATGTTGGCCTAAAACAGTAACTGAAACAAGAGGTTTTGAGGGATTTGCCCATGCCAGAACTTCTCCAGAAAAAAAAAAAACCATACCAATGAAGAAATGTTGGCCTATAACAGTAACTGAAACAAGAGGTTTTGAGGGATTTGCCCATGCCAGAACTCATAATACTTAATTGACGTAATCAAGGCAATACATTTAATGAAGAAAAATCTCCAGAATGACCAATGCAGATTATTAACCAGACCATAGTGTAAAAAAAGTACTTATCAAACTGCAAGTGAAGAAGCTCTCTTTAAAGTGTTGAGAAAGTGGCTTCATGAAGAACTCACTGCAAGATCAGGGGCCACAAGGAGCTTTCTGTTATGAAAGGCTCCATAGAAGAAACATTTGACACTACAGGTCTTAAAATATTCATTTTTAAATATATTTTCTTCTGTGCTGCCTCTTTACATACCTCCTCCAAACTAAAAAGGACACCACCAATTGGGGCTCCAAAGGCTACTGATACTCCTGCAGCTGAAGCAGCTGATAACACCTAGAAAAGAAGAATAGCACGGTTTTATTTATGTGTTTGTGATGCATTTTAAAAACAAAAATAAAAATGTATTCTTACGATATACTCCTAACTTTGTCAACAGACATATATGATACTGAAGACCTAAGAATCCTAAAATATGGACTGATTACCTTCTTCCCATCTTCCTCCCAAGGACCCAAATACTTACTCTACCCATTTAGTCCCAAATTGTCATTTCAGCTTCTCTTGCCCATATGCTGCTTTTCTTTTCTTCCCAGTTTTACTTCCTCCAAGCTTGTCATGTGATCACAGCTATCTGCACTGCCTAACTGTCTATCTGCACTGCCTGTGGGATTTGAACAAGATATGAAAAAGCCCCCAAGCCCCACAGAGAGTTGCAATTACATGAGCAACTATGGAAGGTAGGTAGGTTCTGAATACATTAAATAAGACAGCTATCCAGGGAAATTCTATTCTATCAATGGTGCAGCTATTATGATGGAAGTGCAGCAATTCTAATTAATAGCCAGTCATTATGTCAAGAGCTAGCTGAAATTAACAGACACCCATGATCAAAGAAGTTGACTGCTCAGGTCTCATCGGAGTCTAGTAGCCAAGTTCAGGAATTGAACAATGAACAAGTCCTCGCATTAAAATAAATTCAGAATAAAATGTGGGAGGAAGAGGGACATAAATAGTAGTAACAGAAGCAGCTGGTAGTAAATCTAGATGAGATTTTGGAGCCATCAGAGGCTCTCTAATACATTTGAAACATTAATGTCATCTAGAACACACCATTTCTTCTTTCAGTTTGATCAGATCAGTTGCCCTTTTCCATCAATTGTGCAATTCTGGATGTCTGACTATTTTGCCCCTTGAATCTGGCAGAATACTGTGTATTTCCTTCCTTTTTCTTTCTTCTACTTTTTTTCTGGCTTCTATTTTCTCTCTTTTTTCCTCTTATGCACTCTCTTTTCTTTATTTTATTTCACGCATCTTTTTTTCTTTGCCCTCTTTCTGCAGCCCCCACAACAATCATCTCCCAACCTATTTCCACTTTCCACTCTGTTGCCCAGTCTGTCAGCCTAACCCTGGGTACATCTAGATTGCGGGGGGGGGGGGGTCCCAGAAAAACTCCGCCACATCCAGGGAACACGTCTGCTCTTCTGCTTTTTTTTTTGCCGAAGAGCAAACGCGCTCTTTTGGGGAGCCCAGTATACCTCATTCTATGAGGAATAAGGGCTCCTCCTAAAGAGGAGGCTTTTCTGCCATTTTGCCCCATCTCTTTTTTTTTTTTTTGCCTCTTCTGGAAAATCAATCAGAAAAAGCTACACAAATTGCGGAGCGCAATTTGCGTAGCTTTATCTGAAAAAACGCTATAGTGTAGACCTAGCCCCATTCTCTGAAAAACTGATGCCGCACACTTCACTTTTTATGAGATCTCCCTCACTGTGTCCCCTAAAACTCAAGTCAATCAATGCAGCCTGCTATCCCTCCACATCTCTGCTCCCTTACTCCAAAACCCAATTCAGCTTCTCTTTTTCCGATTCTTGTACCTTACCAGGTCTGCTTTAAAGGTCCTCTAATACCTACAATATAATTAGACAAAACAGACAAACAGCGGGAAACTTATACCATTTTTACAGATTAATTGTGCCAGAAAGATTAAATGACTTGCCCAGAGGCTCTGTAACTATGAGCTGGAAACTGAAGCCAAATTTCCTGAGTTTCAGACCTGTGCCTATTTCACAAGACTAATCAAGTCCAGTAGTATGGGAGCTAAACATACAGAACTACAGCATAGGTGGGCAGATTTTAGAGATTCTTTTCTGTTAAAATATGGGAGATACTATTACAAAAGAGGATTATACTGGGAAAAATCGGGATATCTGGGCTACCTTCTGACACCAAACTTGCTTCTTGCATCAAACTAGCATTTTGTTAATATGGCATTAGCTGCAATGCAAACTTGTAGTTTCTGTCATTTGTTCCATGCGCCAACAGGAACTGAAAGGGCTGCACAGACTGTGGTCACCAGCACAAAGGAGACTCGTGTCTTGAGTAACCTCATCAACTGCCTTAGCATTTTGTTAGCGAATTCAGAGGTAAATCCATTGTGCTCATTGTCCTAAAGAACAGTCGTTATAATGTTGGGCCTAGACGATGGCTTGTAAAGCAATACTAAACATGGACAACAAAGAAGGGAAGGATTTTTCAGGGCTCTGACAAGGATGTAAATAGCTTTTGCTGAGGGGTGATGATCCCTGACCAGAGAATAAAATGATTAATAATCCAAATATAAACAGCAGCTAAAAGAACACAAGACATATTTTACATTTTGTTTTAATCAATGAATTTTCATGCTTTACCAATCTTTGATTATGGGATTTATTATAAAACTATAATTATTTTAAGCAATAGGTAAAGGTTTTAAGAGGAACTTACCTCTCTTTTTTTTGCTTCATTTGTACTGTATTTTGGAAAGAGGTAGGAAAAAATATTCCCACAGCAACAGGCAACATGTACCAGAGGACCTTCCTTTCCTAAACTCAGACCTGATGCTACAGCCAAGACTAAAGTGATGGTTTTTATCAGCAAGGTCCATTTGCCCAAGTAACCTCGGATGATAAAGCCACTCAAAATAGTTTTAATCTAGAAGGAAAAATATTCCGTTAGATTTCATTTTTCTTAGACCACATGCTACTTTTAAGTTTAAAAGCTACTGTCTGTACTTTAACAATCATAACTTAAAAATTACTTGATTTAAAAAAAAAAAAGACTTTTACACCCGCAGAACTTTAAAACATTTTAAACTTTTGAATGCTGTTTGCCAGAAGCATACTACCATTCACATTATAAAGCATACAGTTATACGATAGTCTAAGGCTGTGGTCCCCAACACGGTGCCCGCGGGGGCATTTGTCTGCGCCTGCCAAGTGCTCAGGGCTGGCCTGGCCCCGGGCACGTAGCACATGCGCGGTGCCGGAGCCGGCCCCGGGCGCATGGCGCACGGTGACGGATTGACTGCCCGCGGCGCATGGGGGAGGGAGGGGAGAGA